AACAAACATGATTAAAGACAAAAGGCTGGGGAGGCAGGAGCACTGCCAGCTGAGCAAAAAGATTGTCCTGGCCCCACTCACAGCCTGGAGCCACTCTCCCAGGGGAAGGGGGACTGGGGGATGAGAACCATTTGTGCCCATCAGCTTCTAATGGTGGCTCAGGCCCATGCATCTCTCTGCTCTTGCACCCCCACCTCCACCCCCCATTCCTCACCATGCAGGACTCAGGCATGGAGTAAAGAGTAAGAACCCTGAAATGGAATCAGGAGTACTTGAATCTTGCCCCAGCTCTGCTTTCATTCCCTGTGAAATGTGAGCAAGTCACCCCCATCTCCAGACCTCATTGGTCCATCTATAAAATAAGAACCCTGGATCAGATTGGCCACCAGCTGCCTGCTCAGAAGTTTACTTATCCTTGCAGATTTTGATTCTGTGACAAGTTGAAATCCAGACCACAGCTTTCTGCATTTGCCTTAAGGCCCAGAGCTGGGGCATGGATTATTTAATTGGAGAGAATAGTGTAAAAGCATTTCAGACCGTGGATGCACAGGGTCTGGGTTGATTTGAAAATCACTCCTTGAACACTGACTAGGTGCTGGTGCTGTGCTAGGTGCTAGGGGTGCACAGGTGTGCTAAGACGGAGTTCCTGCCCCCAGGATCTCAAGTCTAGTATGAGAAATTGACTCATCAGCAGACCGTTTCAAAATAACACTGTAAATGACACACTGGATGCATGTGAATCCACAAGGGGATATGGGAGTCCAGGGGAACCTGACCTAGGGGGTCCAGGCAGATTTTTGGCAGGGGGTGGCACCTGAGCTGTTTCTGAGCATGAATCGCTGAAAGGTTTATAGAAAGTGTTCCAGGCACGGTGCTAAGGTGCTGGAGCAGGGGCAGGGGCTGGGTGGAAAGGGAACTTCAGGCCCTCTAGCTAGACAAGAGGGTGGAGCTTTGCATGGAGAGAAAGCAAGTGACAAGGTTGGGGAAGGGGCCCTGCGGGGGCTTCATCCTGGAGGGATCTGAGCCAGACAGGAATGTGTGTAGATGTACATTTCAGATGGAGCATTCTGGTTCTCTGTGCAGAAGCAGGGTGGTGGGCGAGGAAGGAGGGCAGTGGGCTTGTGTGGTTGGAGGGTGGTGCTCTTTCTTCCTGCTCCCCTTTCCCCCCCGGAGTGCCTCCTTCCCATCGTGGATGCACTTACCATGTGCGCCATGGGAGAACTCTGCCTGACCCTGGCACACATACACATACACACACACACACACCACACACACACACACCACACACATACAGCACACACACCACACACCACACACACCACACACCACACACACCACACACACATACATGCATATACCCATACACACAAATCATACACACACACCCCACATACATATACACGCATACACCCATACTCACATCATACACACACACCACACACACCACACATGCACACACACCACATACATATACATGCATACACCCATATACACACATCATACACACACTACACACACACACCCCACACACATATACACGCATACACCCATACTCACATCATACACACACACCACACACACCACACATGCACACACACCACATACATATACATGCATACACCCATATACACACATCATACACACACTACACACACACACCCCACACACATATACACGCATACACCCATACTCACATCATACACACACACCACACACACCACACATGCACACACACCACATACATATACATGCATACACCCATATACACACATCATACACACACTACACACACACACGCCACACACATATACGCGCATACACCCATACTCACATCATACACACACACCACACACACCACACTTGTACACACACCACATACATATACATGCATACACCCATATACACACATACACACACTACACACACACACCACACACATATACACACATACACCCATACTCACATCATACACACACACCACATACATATACATGCATACACCCATACACACACATCATACACACACATACACCACGCACACCACACATGCACACATACACCACACACATATACACACATATACCCATACACACACATCATACACACACACCACACACACCACACACGTGCACACACATCACACACATTTACATGCATACACCCATATACACACATCATAGACACACATACACCACACACACCACACACATATACACACCTATACCCAAACACACACACACCACACACACCACACACGCACACACACCACACACATATACACATACACCTATACACACACATCACACACACACATACACACATACATCCATACACACACATTATACACACTACACACGTGCACGCACACCACACAATATACACACATACACCCATACACACATCATACACACACGTATATACACACATACATCCATACATACACATCATACACACACACCCCACACATACTGCACATGCACATACACAATACACAGATATACACCCATACACACACATCATACACACACATACACCACACACACCACACATGCGCACACACACATCACACACATATACACATACACCCATACACACACATCATACACACACACACACACACACACACACATACACACAGATTCCCTCAACTCTTCGTTCACTGCCCAGCCCATCAGGGCACTTGATATATATGGTAGAAATGAATTATCTGGAAAGGGGCCATGAGTGGCCAACCTGCTGTAGACAATTTTCGTGATTCCCTCCACCCTGGGGGGCTTGTATCCAGTGAGTAACAGAGAAATTCCAGGCATGGTTGGAAAGCTTTTGGAATGAGGTGGCCCCTAGTTCTTAGTGGGTAGGTAGGTAGGTGCCCTTGGTGAGGCTTGTGTTTGCCATCCGTAATTTAGGGGAGCTGCTCAGAGGAGCCCCATTGCTCTCGGGAGACCTGAGGGGTTCCCCAGGTCCATCCGAGTGTCTGTGGTCTCTAATTCCAGCCACAGCAAGAGAGAGCCCTCGGGATCCCCAGAGTGCTAGCTTCACAAATAAAGTGCAACTCATTGTATTCACCCAGGCATCCCAGGATAATCTGGCCAGGCCGGTAAACAAGAAAGATCAGTGTCTCCCTCCCCTGCCTTTGCCTGCCCGGAAGCATCTGTCCGTCTTAGAACAGATTCCCTGCTCCCCTCTGGAGCATCCCCAGGTCAGGGCAGACCCCCTTCCCGAGGGTGGACGCCGCAGTGTGCCTACCTTACCTCAGTCCTGGCCTGGGCGGGAGTCTGGCGGAGCCTCTGAGGTGATGAGACCACCTGGCTGGGTGAACGTCCAGAGGGTGGGTAGCTGGGCTCCCAGGCTCACTCTCCCCAGCTCCCTGATCACATTCCTTTTATAAAGCCCAGGGTGACGTCTCTAAGTACAGGCCCACTCTGCCGCCCCTCCCTCCTCGTCAGACCCTCCTGGAGAGCACAGCACCTTGGCAGGCCTCTGCCTCCGGGCTCTGTGACTGGAGGCAGCCTCTCCTCCCACCCCACCCCCGAGCCCTCCGAGGCGGGACTTTCTCCTTCTCACAGGCTCTTTCCATCCTCCACACCCTCTTCCCACCCAGAGGACCCATCCTGCCCCCAAACAACATGGAAATGGGCTATTTGAGGAGGGCAGGGAGAGGTGTCAGTGTGAAATGTCTTGTTTCCTCTCTGACAAGAGCCACCGTCACACCTAGTCTGAATTAGACGTAGAAAAGGACAGGAAGAGGGGAGGAGAAGGGCACAGGCTGACCCAGGGACTCCTCAAAGCCGGGTCAGCGTGGGTCTCCAGGCGGCTCCTAGACTGGGCCCTGTGACTGGCGCAGGGTGGAGGTGGCAGAGATTCTCTCCTTTTTTCTTCCTTCCTGCTTCCCTTCTTTCCTTGGTTACTAAGCACTTCCTCGGCACAGGGTTTTGAGGTGAATACGTTATGGCATGGTCAGAGACCTTAGGTAAGCAGCCAGCTATGAGCAAGGAGGATGAAATGGGAGCTCTAGAAGGTGGATGCACCTGGGAAGTGCCAGGGCTACAGAGAGGGGACTTCCAGGTGGCAGTACATCCAGCCAGCCTGCTTGGGGGCCCCACTTCTTTGTCTCATGGCACTCACCACCATACCATTTTGTGACTGCTCAGGTACAGCACTTTGAGGACAGGGACAGGCTCCCTTCCCCCTGTACCCTCAGCACCCACTCTATTGCTGGGCACATACAGAGAGGGCCCTCAATAGATATTTGCTAACTGTATGCATCGCAAGTGACTTTTGTCTCTTTCTTGAGCCTGCAGGAACTCTCTATACCCTTGGACAAGGGGCTCTCCAGGGCAGGGACTGTTTCTTCTCTCAGGCTGGGAGTCTCTGAAGGCAGGGGCTGTGTCTCTACCCTCAGACAGAACGCTCTCCCAGCACAAGCTCGACCCGGTGCTCCCCTAATGCTGGAGAAGCATGCTGGCAGTCTGCAGGTTAGCACTCCTCACTTGTCTGGTGCTTACTGTTAACAGGGCTTGCAAACATATTATTATCACACCCATTAGGGCTGTTAAACACCAGGACAGAAATGATAGCCTATGAGGACAGCACTGACCCTCATAGACCAAAACTTCACTATGGGGATGAAGTACGTTGGCCTGCCCTGAAGCAGGAGGTGGACTTAATGGGCTGAAGACGCTAACTTTTTTTTGAGATGGAGTCTGGCTCTGTTGCCCAGGCTGGAACGCAGTGGTGCGATCTCAGCTCACTTCAACCTCCACCTCCCCAGTTCAAGCAATCCTCCTGCCTCAGCCTTTTGAGTAGCTGGAACTACAGGCACCTGCCACCACGCCCGGCTAATTTTTGTATTTTTAGTAGAGATGGGGTTTCACCATGTTGGCCAGGCTGGTCTCGAAGTCCTGACCTCAGGTGATCTGCCCACCTCAGCCTCCCAAAGGTCTGGGATTATAGGTGTGAGCCACCGTGCCCGGCCAAAGACGCCAACTTTGAGCCCTAGACACACGCACAGCTTGGGAATTTAATCTTCACTTTTCCTTCTGTAAATATATAGTGAGGGTGTGATGCCAGCCCCAGCCCAATCTCCTTGGGGCTCTGCGTCTCTGCTTCCTGGCAGCCTCTTGAGTCGACTTGGGGATTTGACGTCAGTTGCTCAGCTCCATCCTTCCTTCTGGACTTGGGGAGGTCCAGATATGACCGGGAGTGAGTCAGTGCGGGGGACTGAGGGGGTGGTTCCCATTCTCTCTCCAGCCCCCTCAACCAATGATCCAAGTTCAAGGAGCTCATCTCTGTTGTTCAGACCATTGAGCTAGTGCCTTGAAGTCTCCGGAACAGCTGTGGGAGCCAAGAATCATTACTCCAGACAAAGGGTAGAGAGCAGATGCAATATCTAGTTATTACAGAGCTGGCCTTGAGAGCCAGGAGCTGTGCCAGGCACAGATATGAGAGGGGCTGCAGGGGCTGTGTCCAGCTGGCGGTTGTAGTGGGGTGCTGGCTGTAGGGTCTCCCTGGGCTCCTCAGAGAGCTCACATTCTGCCAGGTGCTTCAGAGAAAGGGATGAGGAGGGGCAGGGGCTGGTTACCACTGGCTGTGTCTATCCCCAAGAGAGGACAAAATCTGTCACCTACAGGACAGCTTTTCCTGCTGTCATCAGCTGTCACACATTCTCTCCATGCCTGGGGCCCACACTTAGCCAGATCCCCAGAAATCTCAGGCATGTCCCCACTGAGTCACCTAGAGTCTCCGCATCTTCATTTCTTTGGCTGTAAACAGGAAGCTATTCATAGCCACCTTCCTCTACAGCCACACTCAGCTACAACTGCATCTGGATCCCCTCCCCTCTTGGGCTCTTGTCAAATGGAGAAGGTGTAGGGGGAAGAGGAGCCTAAAGCACCAAACCTGGGCTAGGGAGTCTGAGGGGAGACAGGGGAGGGGCCACTGCCCCTGGGACAGCAGTTTTACCAGCTCCCCTCCGTGTGCTCCCCCTCACTCCCCAGGGCATGCCGGCATCATCTGCTTACCGCACCCAGGAAGGGGATGTTGCAGACATTGCCCAGGAAGCCGAAGGCAACAGGGAAAAAGCCCCTAGGAGCAGAGGGGAGAAGGGAGGAGTCAGTGATGGCCCAGGAAGGGAGGATAGAGGGCAGGAGGCTGAGGTCCACCAAAAGGTTCAAGCTGTGGCTTCCGTGCACCAGGGGCAGGCTTGGTTCTGCGCTCCTGTGTTCCGAGAGGCAGTCGAGTGACATGATTAAGAATGAAGGCCCTAGGGTCACACTCTGTGGGTTCACATCTTGGCTCTACCACTTACTGGAACCATATATACTTGGGCAAATTCCTGAACTTCTCTGAATCTCAGTTTCCAACCATAAAATGTGGCTAACAATAACAGTGCCTACATCATAAGGCCATGTACAAAGAAAAGGTCAGGAAGTGCTTATTTTTATTATTGTTACTGTCATGATTATTACTCTTCTGGCCGAAAGTTTTCTTACCTTCCTGAGATCCACCTGACCCGGGTGTCCTGGGCCCTCAGCATGGGCGGCTGTTGGAAGCCGTGCTCACCGTTATACTCACTGGTGCCCTGGCTCCCCCAGGCATACAGCCACCCCTGCCTTTGACAATCCTGCTCTCATCAAAGATACCCTGCCAAGGCCTGACTGTGGACACATGCGTGACCCCTCACAGGACTTGGAGGTGCTGAGGCTGGCATGAGAAGGGATCCCAGTGTGTGGCGGATGGGAAGGGAGATTTGAAATATGGATTCTGGCTGAGCCACTTCCTTACGGTGGGCCTCAATTTCCCAAGGTTTCACTGCACTCTGAGGTCCCTGATAGCTGTAATTTGTTTGCCCCTTCTGTGTTACTGCACAGTGTCTTTGTCAAGGCTGACTTTCAGTTTCAACTATCAAATCTGCTGCTGTCCTACTCCACTTTCTAAGCCCTCCATAAATGCTAACTGTTATCAGAATTTATTTATGGATCTTCCTACTAAACTGTAAATTCTGTAGGAACTTTCTCCTCATTCAGTGCCACATCCTCACACCTGGCCCGTATTTGGCATGCAGTAGGTGCTTATATATTTGACAATTTGAATAAGTGACTGTTTGAAAATGACATACATATATATATATACACACACACACACACACACACACATATATATATATATATATATATATATTTTTTTTTTTTTTTTTTTGAGACAGAATCTCGCTCTGCCACCCAGGCTGGAGGCAATGGTGCGATCTTCTCTCACTGCAACCTCTGCCCCCTGTGTTTAAGCGATTCTTGTGTCTCAGCCTCCTGAGTAGCTGGGATTACAGGCGCTTGCCACCAAGGCCAGCTAATTTTTTTTGTATTTTTAGTAGAAACAGGGTTTCACCATGTTGACTAGTCTGGTCTCGAATTCCTGACTTCAAGTGATCTGCCTGCCTCGGCCTCCCAAAGTGCTGGGATCACAGGCGTGAGCCACTGCGCCCAGGCATAAAATGACATATTTGAATGTGGAATAAATAGATGGCAGGTATGCATGAGAAAATTTAAAGCCACACTTCCTGAAGTCTCTGAGGCCTAGGCCATTCAGGCTAATCGGGGGGTTTCAGGGCTACATTCAGCAAACGGGGGCTCCTATGAGAACCCAGGGATTCCTGAGCCCCACTCCTTTCCATGATTGCAGAAGCCATCATTCTTCCAGTCTCCACTGTCCCCATCCCACCCCGATTCTCTCCACACTACCCTGTAGACATATGAAGCCTTCCTTCCCAACCCCACTTTCTCTGAGACCCCTTCCTTCCTTTTCCTTCAGTACCCTCCAGTCTTCTCTTAGACTCTACCCATCCCTCAAGGCTTCTCTCAAGTCCTGCTTCCTCTACGACACTACCCTGGGCTCCCCTCTGAGTGCCTACAGGCCTGACAGTGGCCACACATCATGACTGAGTTCCACCCTGCCTTTTCCCAAGCCCAGGGCTGACACAGGTCAGGCCAGGGGATGACACAGGGGTCAGGAGCCAGAGCCCCCTGGGTCAAGGGCAACCTTTTTCACATACTAGTTTCAGACCTCGGGGTGGGGGCAACTTCTCTGAGCGTTGGTTTCCTTATCTGTGAAGTAGAGGATAATCCTAGAGTGGGTTGTTGTGATAAAATAAGATGATGATCATGAGCATGCCTGGAACATGTTAGCTCACTGCCCTTCCTCTCCGGCTAGATTTGAGGGCAGGCCTCGTGTCTGCTCCCTGCTCACAGGCACAGTGCTGGAAACACAGTCAGCACTCTATCAATATTTGTTGATGGATGGGCTAATCCCTCCAAAGTACCCTTCAGCCTACTTTAGGGGGCCTTTCCGAAGTGTCCATGGTTCCCATCTCTTGCAGGATAAAGTCCCAGCTTCCGCACTGCCTGCTGGGGTGATCTCAGCCACTCAGATGCTTTGGTGGGTCTGTCCAGGGTTAGAGGGATTTGCACTCACTTGAACAGGCTGAAGAATCCGTAGGTTTCCAGGAACATACCCAGGAGGGGCCAGCGTAGGAGCACGACAACCACACCCCCCAGGAAGAAGCTGGTTCCCTTGAGTTTGTGCCGTTGGAAGAAGAACTGAAAGGTCTTCCTCAAGCCGATGATGAAGGAGAGGCCCGTCAGGAACAGCAGCTGGAGGGAAGGGAGGAGAGCATGAAGCAAACCCACCAGCCCCCTGAGGAGCTGGGGGCACAGGCCTGGAGCCAGGTGGCGGGCAGGGGCAGGACGTGCTAACTCTTTAAGACCATCTGAGCAAGGGCCGTCTAGCAATGTGGCAGAATCCCAGAGCCTTGATAAGTCTTGCTGGCTGGGAACAGGACTGCACAGAGGCAGGGGGATGGATGAGAAACTTTTGATGGTTTCTAGTTGCCCACCCAATTCCCTGGAGCCCAAGCACTTTTTCATATGGGACTTGGTTTCTCACCATACCATCTAGGGAAGATGGAATCAGGTGGGATTTTTATTCCAGAGAACTGAAGATTGAGGCCTAAGTAGGTTAGGCAGCCATACTGAAAGTCACACAGAACCTTCAGAGGCTCCACCGCCTACAGAATAACCCTCCAGGCCCTCCCCTGGATACCCTATCACTGTCTTCAGCTTGGCTCCTAATGATCCCTGAAGAGTGCCCAGGCTGTCGTCAAATTGAACTCTCTGGTTTTCTTCCAGCATATCCCATGCTTCCCCGCTCCTCCCCCACACCTTCTCTCCTGCTGTTCCAACCCCCCTGGAAGTGCTTTATTCACCTCCACATCCATTTCCTTTCCAAATTCCTCTCCACCCTTCTCCAATTTAGTGTGCCCTCTTTCCACTAAGCCCCTTGTTTCATATTAAATGTGTTTACTGTGGCCCCTGCCTTCCTCCCAGCCATGTATGTCATGTTATATCTCTAGCCCTAGAGTGGCATTCAGATGGCAGGGACAGTGTCTGAGTCCCCTCAGAACCCCCAGGGTCTCCCGCAGAGCTCGGTGTGAGAATCCAGGTCCTCAGATTCTTGGTGCCGCAGGCTCTGTGTCCATTTCCTGTGCCCTCCTCCGCCCAGGCTTGATGATGTCTGACCCCTGGATAAGCATGGTCTGAATAAACTTGGGATTTATTTAAGGGATTTATTTAAAGACTTAAATAAACTTTAAGTCTTTATTGCCAGGACTATCCTGGCAATAGAGACTTCAGAAAGGTTGGGGCAGGGGAGTGGGGACACAGGGCTGGGGGACTCACGTTTCCAAAGGCCAGGAGCACGGAATCAAAGTACAGGAGTGTTCCAAAGAGGATGAAGAAGATGCCGAAACCGGTGATCCCCACACCAATCTCTGCAATGGGCAAGGAGGTGGTGGAGCAAAGGGCTTTGGGGAGCAGGTGGGGACCCTGAAACTTCCCCCATTGCCACAGGACAGGTGCCCTCTGTGGGGGTGACTCCACTTCCATCCAGGAATCTCAGCTTTCGTGCTCTCAGGGGATGGTGGGATGGGAAGGGGAAGGTAGGATGGTCTGAAGCTTTGTCTAGCACCTGGGAACTGTGCTGTCACTTCTGTACACAGTGGCATTCTGTCCTCACCGCAGCCCTGTGTGGAGGCTGGTGCTGCCGTCACCACTTTATACTCTCAGCCTCCTCTCGTCCTCAAAAGCCACATTATCCACATCAGTATCAGGGCTGAGCATAGCATCTGCCTCCTCTGCTCCTGCCTTGTGCAACTGAGAACCACTGGAGCCCAGTCCACACTGCGCAGAAGGGAGCCACTGAAAACTCAGGACCACCAGCCCCAAAGAGCCTCAGAACCACCCAGCTCTCCTGGTCCTTTCTCAAGAGGCTGGCCCGCCTGAGCAACTCTCCACACCATCTCCTTTCTCCTCAGAATTGCCCTGTCTCCACTCTCAGGTGGTGACGTTTCCCACTGGATTGGGAAAACAGAAGTCATAAGTTAGGAATGCATTCCTCTTCCCAGCTGGGGCCTACACCCAAGACCCAAGCCTGCACCTGCTCCCATTGTCCTCCCTCCCTCCTGCAGCAGGCACCTTGTGGGCCCTGCCACACACTCTTTGGCCAACTCTCATTTCAACCCAGTGGCTTCGGGCAGTTCTGCCGAGGTTGGACCCACACTGACAATGAGCCTCCATTCCCAAGGTTTGATAGTGAGCCTCCATTCCCAAGGTTTGACAGTGAGCCTCCATTCCCAAGGTTTGTAAGCATCTCAGGGCGTTTTTTGAAGCTGAGTTCGCTCAGAGCCAGCAAACATAGCCCAGAAGTTCAGGACACGAAGGCCCCCTCGTTTGGTCAAGGGCTACATTTTTTGACATTTTGATAAACATATTTCAGATCGCTCCCCTCAAGACAAGTTATACAATAACCAGATATATAGTTCCTTTTTTCCTTAACCCTATCCATCACTCAGAATTGTTAATTTTACTTATCTTTGCCACGATGATAGTCAATAAATGGAAACTCATTCTGTTGCTTCGTTTTTAAATTGTTACCTTTTAAAGTTTTAAATTGTGGCAAAATGCACATAAAACGAAACTTACCATCTAACCGTTTAAAAATATACAGTTCAATGGTATTAAGCGCATCTCCCGAATTCTTCATCTTGCAAAGTTGAAACTCTACACTCATTAAACAGTAGCTCCCCATTCCCCTCCCACCAGCCTCCAACAACCACCATTTTACTTTCTCTATGAATTTTTGACTACTCTGGGAACCTCCTATAAGTGGAATCATACAATATTTGTCTTTTTGTGATTGTCTTATTTCACGTATCATAACGTTCTTAAGGTTCCTTCATGTTGTAGCATGTGTCTGAATTTTCTTCCTTTTTAAGACAGAATAAATAGTCCATTGCTATCTGTATCCTGCATTTTGTTGATCCATTCATCTGTTGATGGACATCTGGGTGGCTTCCATCCATCTCTTACCTATTGTAAATAGTGTTACTCATAAATATGAGTGTAAGAAAATATCTCTTCAAGACCCTGCTTCCAATCCTTTCGGGTATATACCCCGCAAAGTGGGATTATGGAATTATACTGGATCACATGGTAATTCTATTTTTAATTTTTTTTTTTTTTTTTTTGAGACGGAGTCTCGCTCTGTCGCCCAGGCTGGAGTGCAGTGGCGCGATCTCGGCTCACTGCAAGCTCCGCCTCCCAGGTTCCCGCCATTCTCCTGCCTCAGCCTCCTGAGTAGCTGGGACTACAGGCGCCCGCCACCGCGCCCGGCTAATTTTTTGTATTTTTAGTAGAGACGGGGTTTCACTGTGGTCTCCATCTCCTGACCTTGTGATCCACCCGCCTCGGCCTCCCAAAGTGCTGGGATTACAGGCTTGAGCCACCGCGCCCGGCCCTATTTTTAATTTTTTGAGGAATTGCCATTTTGTTTTCCATTGTGACTGCACCATTTAACATTCCCACCAACAGTACACAAGAGTTCTAATTTCTCCACATCTTGCCAATACTTTTTCTGTTTTGTTTTGTTTTGATAGCAGCCATGCTAATGGGTATAAGGTAGTATCACATCGTGATTTTGACTTACATTTCCCTAATGATTAATGATTAGTGATCTTTTCATGTGCTTGTTAGCTGCATGTATATCTTCTTTGGAGAACTGTCTAGTTAATTTTTAAACGGGTTGTTCCTTTTGTTGTTGAGTTGTAGGAGTTCTTTATATATTTTGGATATTAACTATCAGGTATATGATTTGCAAATATTTTCTCCCCCTCTGTAGGTCACTTTTTCACTCTGTTGACTGTGTCCTTTGACACACTGAAATTTTTAATTTTGATGTAGTCTGATTGATGTCTTCTTTTTCTTTTGTTGCCTGTGTTTTTCAAGTCATATCTTAGAAATCATTATCAAAGTGTTGTAATGTTTTCCCCTATGTTTTCTTCTAAGAGTTTTATAGTTTTAGCTCTTATTTTTAGGCCTTTGATCTGTTTTGAGTTACTTTATGCAGCTAGTATAAGGTAAGGGTCCACCTGCATCTTTTGCATGTGGATATCCAGTTTTCCCAGCACTATCTGTTGGAAAGACTGTTCTTTCCCCATTTCACGGTCTTAATACCCTGGTCAAAAATTTTGCTGGACTTGTTAGAATTGGTTCTCATAACCTCTATGAAACTGGTATTATTAATATGCTTTTGCAAATAATTGTTAAAAGTGGGGGGAAATTATTCTGTTGTTTAGAGGCAGAACTGTAAAAACAAAAACAAAATTATCGAGACTAAATTTACTGGCTGAGTTATATTTACACCTGAAAGAAAATGAAACAACACAATCATCTTCTGGGTAGTTAATCCCTCATCTGTTGCTAGGCAGATTTTAAGAGGATTAGGATCAATTCCAATACAGAAAGAAGGCCAAAGAGCTTCTTTAAAAGAATCATCAAAAATACAGCGATGAAACCAGGTGCTCAGTGGCTCACACCTGTAATCCCAGCACTTTGGGAGACTGAGGTGGATGGATCACGTGAGGTCAGGAGCTCAAGGCCAGCCTGGCCAACATGCTGAAACCTCGTCTCAACTAAAAATACAAAAATTAGCTGGGCATGGTGGCACGCATTACTAGTCCCAGCTACTTGGGAGGCTGAGGCAGGAGAACTGCTTGACCCCGGGAGGTGGAGGTTGCAGTGAGCCGAGATTATACCACTGCACTCCAGACTGGGCAACAAGAGCAAAACTCCATCTCAAAACAAACAAACAAACAAAAACCAAAACAATGATGAGATCTAACATTCCAATTATAGACTGAAACCTTGCTCAACTCATAGTCTGGTATCATGCCAGTCTTACTGGATCTCACTTTTGGCAGAAGCTGGATTTTGTTGGGACCCAGTGTAACATAATTTCTCTCAACATATCACCCAGCTGCCCAGAATCTATTTTCTACTGAAAGCTGATTCCTTGTGTTCCTGACAAGCCTTCGTGATTGATTTGGGCTTGTTTCCTACTTCTACCTCCTCCGGCTGGCCTGAGTTAAATCTCTTAGAAGCTGGGACAGCTCAGCAGAGTATCACCCCATGGGTCACGATGAAGGTTGTGTTTTGTCAACATTTCCTTCCTCAGAGACAACACATTGAGAATCTAGAGTTACATCTATCTGAATTACCATGATAATTTCGTGTAGGTCAGAATATTGTGGAGGAAGACCACAGTCATCTTTCTTTAACCCAAATGATAAAAGTGTTTTAGGTTTTTATGCTTGTTATAAAATATCTGTTGTTGGCTTATGCCTGCCATAAAAATATCTGTCATTGGTTTCAGCTCTGACTCTACACCCTTTCCTCCCCCTCAGTAGGTGTATTTGTGTGGAAACACGATGTGCACATTTTATGGGGTTTTCATTTTGTTTTGCAAAACTATATGTTCATCCTGCACACACTTAAGAACAGCCTCATACTCATTTTGTAGAAACAGCATAAGTTTCTCACATTCACACGTGATGTCCATTCTATTTATTCCTTCTTCTGCAGCAGCGATTTGCTGGCTGTCATAGTCATCACTTCTCCACCTGTTCTACACTCTTCTTTAAGGGCAGGTGCAATTCCAGGACTTTCCTGTGATAGGGGCAGCCTTCTTTATGGGCCACACTTAGTGCTCTCAGCGCTCAGTGGGACACAAAACTCCACAGAAAAGGGTCAGAAACTGGGTTTCTCACACACAAGCTTCAGACCTGCCTTTGCCTCTTGCTTCTGGAGTAGCTTAGCGATTTCAGTCAAGTTACCCAGTCAGAGGTTGCTCCTAAAGTTCTTTTCAGGCAGCAACCATGGCAGAAAGAGCGGAGGAGTGGGGATGTCATACAGATGTCCCCAGGAGTGACGGGCGTGCCTGCCGGGCACGGTCCCCGAGATCCAGACAGATTGAGCAGCGCGCCCTCTGCTGGAGGCGGCCAGGGCTGTCACGCCTACAGCCAGCGGAAAAACCTGGGAGGCCAAGGTAACTTCAGGGAGGCGTGGCTCTCCAGGAGCCACCTGGGAGAAGTGGAGACCTCCCCAGACCTCAGAGATCAGCTTTAGGTCTCCCTGGCAAGGCACACTGATGGCTGCACTGGTGCCCTTGTTTAGCCCCTCGCTCTGCAACTCCCAAGCTGCTGCCAAGAAGAGCCCACAGCCACCTGATCCAGACAAGCCAGGCTTCCCCGACTCCCCATTTCATAGCTAGCTTGAAGAAAAGCCAGATTCAATGTCTTTTTTTTTTGAGGCGGAGTCTTCACTCTGTCGCCCAGGCTGGAGTGCAGTGGCACCATCTCGGCTCACTGCAAGCTCCGCCTCCCAGGTTCGCGCCATTCTCCTGCCTCAGCCTCCCGAGTAGCTGGGACTACAGGCG